TTTTGAGACAGGGTCTCCCTGTAGCCCCAGCTAGCCTGGAACTCACTCACTATGTAGACCAGACTGGTCTTGAACTCACAGAGATCCGCCTGCCTCTGCCTCTGCCTCCTGAGTGGGGGATCAAAGGCTGCACCACCACACCCAGCTTCCCTTTACCTTCTGAGATAACTGTTTAGAAACGTGAATTAAGAATTTAATAAACGCAAGCTGCGGGTGTAACTTCGTGCAGAACACTTGCCTAACATGCACAGACCTCTAGGTCAATCCCCAGCACCAAAAAGTAACCAAACAAAAAGATTTTGACAAAGGCTTAACTTTGGCTGTAATTTTTTTTTTTTTTTTAAAGACATGGTCACATGTATCCAAGGCTGGCTGGCCTCAAACTCACTATGTAGCCAAGGATAACTTTGAACTTCTGATCCTCCTACCTCTACCTCCTGAGTGCTGAGATTACAGGCATGAGCTACAATACACAGTTTATGAAGTGCCAAGGGCTTCACACAGGAGAGCAAGCATCCTATTAACTAAGTGACATCTCCAGGGCTGCTATTTATTTGATTTCTTTAAGTGACAATTAGTAACATTAACATTGTAGGTTACTTAGATTTCTATAGAACAGTACTGCTTTAGACTATCTGCCTAATGTGTATTTCCCCATAGTTTCTCTCTCAATGTCTTGTCTTTTTTTTTTTTTTTTTTTTTTTTTTTTTTTTTCGGAGTTGAGGACCGAACCCAGGGCCTTAGGCTTGCTAGGCAAGCGCTCCACCACTGAGCTAAATCCCCAACCCCTATGTCTTGTCTTTTAAACCCATATGGAAACACACTCCTAATTCTTCATAGTCTTCCTCAACATTCATATTTTGGGTATGTGTGGGGTAGTCAACCACCCTCTGAACATGTCTGATTTTTAACAATTGGGCAGTTCCCTATAACCAATCATAGTTCTTGTTAGGTGTTATCACACCAAAACCCACTGGGGTGGAAGTCTGCCATTCTGTGGGTACTTTATTTACACTTTGAACATTATGGAGTTCTAGCCTTCATACTTACATGCTGTGCAACTCTGTTTCTTCTAATAGTTACACCTCGGTTTTCTTGACTAAAAAGTAGGGCTGATAAGGGAATTTACCTTATAAGGTTGAGAGGACTGACATCATGAAAGTGTTTAGAATGGTGGCTGGCATGCAGAATTGAAGTAATCATTACAGTATGTATCATTATATACATCCACTGCTCTGCCCCAGTAGTAATATATTCTCCTGTGGTCCTGGACATCTGTACACAAATCTAAGATTCCCCTCCCCCACCAGATCCTCTAATTCTAAAACTCTGCTACTTCCCAAAGTCCTCTTCACCTGTGCTGACTTTCTGGTATTCTGTGTACATGAGAATAAATACTGCCCCATTTCCTGCACAAGTCTGAACTACAATGCATATAATGTGCATACATACACATGTATGTATGTACATACACATGTATACACACACACATGTCTTTGCACAGCTCTTATCATTCAAGAGATGCCTTAGATGCCTTCTATAGCTTAACGTTCACGATCCTCAACGCACACCACAGGGCAGATATTTGTATACAGAAGGAAAAGGGTTCTAGGAAGTTACGATTTGGCGGAGGTTGCACAGCGTCAAAATCGGAACAAAGTCAAAGGTTTTCCTTAGAAAACAAAGCTTTTTTTTCCCAAAGGCGTGAGCGCTGGGGCTGAATCAACTCATGCTGTTGATTGCATAATAACGTTTGAAGAAGTGCAGCAGCCGGCAAAGTCGGTCTGCTACCGTGCTGCCCACTGCAAACTGTAGCACATAAAACACACGCTTGGTCACCACCACCATCGTTAGGTCAGTGGGTCGGCGACAAGGATGCAACTGGGGTCCACAAACTCACGAAGCCTTGCTGCCGTCCCCGGCTCGGCCCGCGCCCGCCCGCTGGCTCTCACCTCCGGCTCCAGGCGCTCCGAGGCCATCACACAGCCCGCTCGCGCCGGTCCAGGCCCGGAGGCTGCTCTGCTCCTGACCCCTGACCCAGCTAGCTCGGTGCCGGACAGGAACCGGAAGAAGCTGGGAAGGCTCCTTCCGAGGTTTCCAATTGGTAGATGCAGTCTTATTCTCGGCGCAGACGCATGAGAAACCGGAAGAGGAAGTGGTTGCGACAGCCAGGCCGCTGCAATGCAGGTGAGAAGCGGGCTGGGCTCCGGGTAGCTGACCTCGCGACAGAGGTGGGTCCGCGAGGACGGGGCAGGGCCCAGGCTGCCTGGGGAAAGCAGAGAAACGGGAGGGGCGAGGGCAGCTGCTGAGGGACCAGAGGGACTGATCCGCCGGGCGGGGAGGAAGGACGCAGCACCGACGTGCATGGGAGCGGAAAAGGATCGGGCCGTCGTTTGAGAAGGCTGAGATGCTATCCGAGAACAAGAAAGTAGCGGGCTGGCCGCAGGCGACTCGGCGTACGCTGCTGGATGCAGGCGTAACAAAGCTGAAGGCTCATGGCATTGTGGGCCGCCAAGGACAAGCACTAAGCCGTTTACAGTCTGAGGCTGTGGGTGGAACTCATTATAAAAAAAATCTGCCGGTCACATTTTCCGGTTTGCAAGTTTTGCATCAGTCTTCCCAGTTTGTGCCCATTGCTAAGGGTGAAAAAATGGAGTAAAACAGACCACAGAGGGTCACAAGGAACCGCCCTGTAGACGCTTAGCATTTAAGATTGTCTAGTGCTCATAAATGCGTGCAGGTCTTGTCTCTGTTTTTCATTAATCATTCAGTTTGTTACACCTGGTAATCCTCCAATATAAGTGTTTGTGGGTCACCAGATTTATGAAGGAGGCACTGGAATATTGGCACGGAGATAAAAGAGTGCACATTGACTCAGCAAGAAGATTGAAGCATCAAATGCTAAGGTTACCTGAAATTTGAGGGGTGGGAGAGGGAGAGCTGGTATTCAGAAAAAGCCTCACAGTGTAGGCAGGTTTTCCAGATTGTGTTGTTACGGTTGTCACACTCGAGGCTGATTCTGGGGCCTGGAGAGATGGCTCAGCAGTTAAAAACACTGGCTGTTCTTACAGAAGACCTGGGTTCAAATCCCAGCACCCACATAGCAGCTAACAACTGTCCATAACTCCAGTTCCAGGGGATCCGACATCCTCTTCTGTTCCCTATGGGCACTGCATAACACGGGTGCACTTACCTGCATGCAAGCAATACACGAATGCACATAAAAATAAATAAAATATTTTTTTTTTTTTAAAAAAAAAGGAGGCTGATTCTAAGACAGAGGAAGTTGGTGTCCCGTCCTACAGAGGCACCCACAAGATAATGATCTTGAGGAATTAGTTCTGGCTTTCTGTGCTGATGGCATTCTTGCTGCCGTGGCAGAGCTTCCTAAAATGCACTGCACTTTGTGTAGGACATGTGCCAAGTACCAACTACACAAAGTGATACGGTACAGGAAGGATTCTCTGTATGCCCAAGGAAAGCAGCTTCTGTCAGGAAGCACAGTGGTGTGGTGGACACACCAAGCCTATGTTTCTGAAAAAGGCCATGTGCATGTTCATGCTGAGCCCAACTGCAGATCTAATGCTGGCTGTTAAGAGATGCAAGCATTTTGAATTAAAAGACAAAGGACTAAGTGATCCAGTTCTAAGCCAGTTTTGTTATGAAAACAAAATCATGAGGGCTGGTGAAATGTTCTTACTGAAAGAGAATAGGGTACCCTAATATAGAAAAGCCTTCAATCTCGTACGAGGGCGATAAAGAGGAATTAGTTGGCAGGAGGACTTCAGGTCAGGTGAACAGGTTGAAAGGTCTAAGGGTTGATGCTCTTTGTAACCCAAATACCAAGATAGAAAACAATTTAATTTTTCTGTATGTGTGTCACATGTGTATCTGAGTAACCAAGCATACTGTTGCTGCAGAGGGAGGAGAAGCAGCTTGAGGCGTCATTAGATGCACTGCTGAATCAAGTGGCTGATCTGAAGAATTCACTGGGAAGTTTCATTTACAAGTTGGAAAACGAGTATGACCGGCTGACTTGGTAAGGGTTGCCAGGACAAGCTGGGGAGGGATCCATAGGTGGGGGGGCCAAGCCCCCTGACTGACAGCACATCTCCAGTGATGTAACCATTATCAATTTGTAAACATCTTTTTTCATTTGGAAAGAGCTGGGTTGCCCAACATTGACAAGTATAGTTTGGCTTAGGGCCTCCATGGCAAGAAAGTAGAGAAATACCTAGTTCTCAACCTAGGTTGTTTCTAGGTTTGAATTCTTATCTTTTGACTTCTCTGGTGAGGAGGTATTCCTTCGGTGGAATACAGCTATATTCATGCTCATCTCCTTCCACAGATGTGACTGAATCTGATATCCAACTTACTGTGGAATGATGGATTAAGTTACTAGGATAAAAGGGAGGTTTTAGCTAGGTGTGGTGGTGCAGACCTTTGATCCCAGCACTTGGGAGGCAGAGGCAGGTAGATCTCTGTGAGTTTGTGGCCAGCCTGGTCTACATAGTAAGTTCTAGGCCAGCTGGGACTACAAGGAGACCCTGTCTCAAAAAGAAAAAAAGGGGGGGTGTCTAGTTTCAAGGTTTTCAGTTATTAAAGTGCAACCATGATTCATATTTTGCCCCTGTTCCCAACCCCATTCAAACAATGACCTGCTTTTTTCCCCCAACATCTGTGTCAGAAATTGAAAGTATCCCTCTTTCTTAACTCCACCATCCTTGCTAGCAATTCTGGTTCTTCCCTAGGCTAGTCATAGGCTATGAGTCTTTTAGGGGTGAATCTGGGTATTCCTAGTGTTAGGAAATCTTAGTACTTTATAGGGAAAAGTAATTCTGTTACTTTCTTACCACCACCAGGCCCTCTGTCCTAGACAGCTTTGCATTGCTCTCTGGACAGTTGAACACACTGAACAAGGTGTTGAAGCATGAGAAGACACTACTGTTCCGTAACCAGGTCATCATCCCTTTGGTGTTGTCCCCAGACCGAGATGAAGACCTCATGGTAAGAAGAAAAAGGGATTCAGCTTGGGGAAATGAGGCTCTGGAGCACAGTTGTTGCTTGGCTGTTGTAGAAGTTCTGAGTGTGGGGTAGTGTGTGGCAGTAAAAAGCAAGGGCTGCATTTTGGAAGACTTCTGGTCCTTCTGGAGGTGGAAGAGTCCTTTTGAGACAAGGTCTCCCTGTTGCCCCAGCTGGCCTGGAACTTGCTATGTAGAGCAGGCTGGCCTTGATCTCACAGATATCCCCCTGCCTCTGCCTCCCAAGTGCTGATATCAAAGGTGTGGGTCACCAGGATGGAGGTGGAAGAGTCATTCTTAAATAGTGCTGTAAAAACCCCAAGGCTATGTCATTAAGACAAAGACTTTTCTAACATTTATATCAAGAAGAAAAAAAAGTCTGTCCATTTGTAACTTTGTCCCAGTCTTAAAAAATGTGGGGGTTGGGATTTAGCTCAGTGGTAGAGTGCTTGCCTAGCAAGTGGGGTGGTGGGGAGGACAGGACAAAAATCACAAAAGATAAAATAACAAAAGAGGGAACTAAAATGTGGAGAGTGGGTTTTAATTGCCCTAGTTATGATAGAGAAATGTATGTGAGAAGAAAAATCATAACATGAAGGGGACAGTGCTATAGGATAGCTATGTTTGTGCCTCAGATTGTGTTTTCCCTGAAAATGTACTGTTGATCTGTGGAAAGGAAATCAGGCCAGATGGACTTACTTGGACAGCACAGCAGGATTAATAAAACCTGTGTTACAGCGGCAGACTGAAGGACGAGTGCCTGTTTTCAGCCATGAGGTCGTCCCTGACCATCTGAGAACCAAGCCTGACCCTGAAGTTGAAGAGCAGGAGAAGCAGCTGACAACAGATGCTGCCCGCATTGGTGCTGATGCAGCTCAGGTTGGACTGAGTCACTGCCCTGCTATCCTAACCCCATCCCTTCATAAGAAGCAAGGCTTTACCTCTCCTACGTAACAATGATGTGGAGTTGGTTACACCTAGGCTGCCTGTGGAAGAGCACAAGAAAGATGCTTCCCTAGAATCATTGCTAATTGCTATACCAATTCCTCGGTTACAGAAGCAGATCCAGAGCTTGAATAAAATGTGCTCAAACCTCTTGGAGAAAATCAACAAAGAAGAACGAGAATCAGAGAGTGGAGGTAAGGAGGGATTGGTGGCAGAACAGAGGGTCACTAGGAATGGTGTTTGGGTACCTGTGAAATAAGGGCAGAAGAATGGGCTGGTGGGGCTGGCCAAGCGGCTCAGTGGATAAAGCTGCCTGCCACCAAGCCTGACTTAGGCTCCATGGCTGGGACCCACATGGCAAAGGAGAGAGCCAACAAGTTGTCTTCTGACCTCCACATGTGAGCCGTGGTGTGCATACCCACACACACACAAAATCAATAAATATAATTTTTAAAAAGTTGTGTTTAAATGAACTGGTGCAAAGGGTCTATATCCTGACTGTTAGCCTTTTATGTTTCAAGACTAGCCTTGGAGCACATGGAGGAAATGGACAAAATGATAATTTAGAGATAGGCTTGGGGGCTTTTGACTCTCTTGGACTGGAGGGAGTCTAGGTACTGGTGAATCAGAACTGTAAACCTGGTGACCGTCACTGGTCTTCCAACTGCTGAGTTTAGTCCAAAGTCAGACACACACTTTAGAGTTCTTGCTCTTTTTTCAGGTCTCCGGCCAAACAAGCAGACCTTCAACCCTGCAGACACTAATGCCTTAGTGGCCGCTGTTGCCTTTGGGAAGGGGCTGTCTAATTGGAGACCTTCAGGTAGCAGTGGTCCTGGCCAACCTGGCCAACCAGGGGCTGGTACGATCCTTGCAGGAGCCTCAGGACTACAGCAAGTTCAGATGGCAGGTGCTCCAAGCCAGCAGCAGCCAATGCTCAGTGGGGTACAGATGGCTCAAGCAGGTCAGCCAGGTAAGGTGGCAAGGGTTAAAATGTAGCTGATTTAGAGTAGGGTAAGGGTATGAGCTAGATTATCTGGGCCCCTAGCACCCCAGACCTGGAGGTTTTCTCCTTTGCATTGTGACTCGGAAAACAGTTCAGGCACATGTGAGTGAAGAAGGCCTTTGAGTAGCAGAAACTGGTTTTGCCTTCCACCTCCATCTCAGACATTTGTCCTAACTGTCCTATTTATTCTGTATATTAGTGTGTATCTCTTCCTAGGTAGAAAAATAAATGGCCAGACCTTAATTAAGACCAGTGGTAGATAATCAGGAATTAAGAAGCAGGCAGTTTTCCAGTCCTACAGGATTCTTTGTACCCTGTCTCTCTTGCTCCTAGCTTTTTGCCTTGTCTTGTGCTCACTTTTAGTAAATGAGAGCAATCTGGAGGAGTCCTCATAGAAGTGGCTGAGAAGGTATTTCTTCCAAACTGTCTAGGAACCAGGACAACTAAGCAGTAGAGAACACAATACTGTTTACCTGTGACATTAAACAGGGGCCATATGTGTTTACTTGTCTTTCCCAGGAGTAGATGAGCAGGAGGCCATCTCTGGGGGGCTGTTAAGACCCCTGGCCCTATTCTCTCAGATCACTCCTTTCTTAGATGTTTGAAGGGAGGGAGCCAGCTGAAGAGCCACACCTGTAATTTCTGCCACCTGGGGTCAGACACCACAGAGGTTGTGAGACGATTGAATGAGGTGACAGGAGGGAACCTGAGATACCACGCTTCCGGTATATTGTGAAGGTTTGCCTTGTTTCAGATATCTTTCATTGTATTCCTTTTAGGGAAAATGCCAAGTGGAATAAAAACCAACATCAAGTCAGCTTCAATGCATCCATACCAGCGGTGAGTGTGGACACCAGCCTCCACTCCCAGGTGATCTGTGCAGAGTTGGGCAATGAAATTACCTTTTGCTCAAGTCTTATGTAGATGGGTACATTAAAAAAAAAAAGAACAGTCTTTCAGCAACAGAAAATCCCAGCTCCACTGGTGAATAGCTGCGTGACTTTGGGCAAGTGACCTAATTTTTCTGAGCCTGTTCTCATTTGTAAGTGGTGATAATACTTGCCTCATAGGGTTGTTGTGAGGATTAAAATGAGAAAATGAATGCAAAACACTTATCGCAGTATGTGAAATAATGGGTCTTCAATAAATGATAGTTTCCTGCAGCTATTTTTCTACCAGGCCCTCCACAGTCCTTCATCCAGAACTCACTCTGATCTGATACTGTTTCATGACAATGGTGCCCTGATGGACATGATCACATAAGCCTGTGCTTACTTTGTGCTGCCAGAAACCATAGCAGCTTATGTGTCTTGAAGGCATACTGAGTCTGAAGGCCCTCCTGCCCAGGTTCCATACTGCTGACCCTGTAAGCTACGTGTGAAGAGGCTTCTAGGCTGGGACATCATCCACCTACAGATCTGGTGAATCCAGTTCAGCTTTTACCTAGGAAATAAGTAAAAGTCTCCATCTACTATCCTACCCTGTGCATATGAAGGAAGATGTTTAGGGACCAGTAGGTGGGAGATTCTCAGGATTGGTTCCATCAGGCAAGACTGTGAGAAAGTTTTCCCATAGCACATGGAAAATAACTTCTTCCTCAGGACTTAACGTTTCTTGGAGAAGGGAATCATAGTTCACACTGTCACTCATCAGAGCTTAGTTGTCCTCATAGTAATGCCTTGTTTCTGCACTCTGGCCAGGTTAGCTTGCCTCCATTTCACAAAACTTGTAGCTCAGAAAAGATCCAGATTGACAGTGAAAGGACAGTGCCAGTGGCTTTCTTACCTTTATTGAGTTCAAGAACAGTGGTTTTGGAAGGCTAGCCAGCTGCCTTTCTCAGTGTTCCTTTGTGGGCAAGAGTAGGGATCAAGTCAGCAGTGGTTAGCCAAATAAAGTTGTTTAAACGAATGTTAACTGGCTCAGGATTTTTTGCAATTTATGAGAGCTAGAAGGCAATTCTAATTTGTTCTCCATTAAAGCATTCCCTTATCTTTATCTTTGATTTAAAACCCTAAGACTTCCTTACAGTTCTTACAGCTGCAATTTTTGTGTTCTTTGGTCACAACTAGTACTTTGGCCTTTGAGCAGTGTCAGACAACATTCTGTCAGAGTGTGGCAGCAGAGGCCTGAAAAAGTGGTCCCAGATGTCACCTCTGTTCCTGATGTATTGAGACAGGAATGGTGCTCACAAAGCTCAGTGACCACAACACTGAGCTGACACTGAGTGACAGGACCAGGGGAGTCCTGTCATGACCTCTGAGGCAATCCCAGACCTTTCCCCCACTTAAGCAGGCTGCCCTGTCAGCCCATCCAGGTGTTGTTTATCTTCTTGTTTTTTCCTTTCCCACTAAATGTCAAAGCTAATGGGATATTGGATAGATGAGATATTTGAAGCATCTTCCAGTGACTACTGCCCTTTACTCCACCGATAGTACCAACCCAACTTTCTTTGTTGTCCCAGGCTGAACTGCCTTCACTCCCACCATGCTACTGAAATGGGTTCCTTGTCCTCTAAGAACAAGAATGTCTTCCTGTCACGGTAGGAACATCCTCAGGACCTCACCTACATCGTATGCCCTTAAGCAAACACTTCATGTGGTAGAGACACCCACATCACTCTTAGTCACTTTGGTACCACATCCTCTCATTTCCACCACCTCCTCCCTCCAAAAAATACCAAACATCTCCGGGCACACAAATATGTTCATCTCCCTCTTTGGAACCCATAAACCAGTTCACACAACAGTGGAGAGACTATCTCGCATACCTCACAGTTAGTTGGTTGCTTTGGAAGGATGTGTATCTAATTCCCTGTGAAGACACGACTGCTTACTTGTTCAGGTTTGGGATCGCGATATGACTCTTGCCTTGCTCTGGTGGTATTCTATTTCTGAGCACCCTCTTCCCTAGAGATTGTACTTCTACATGTGAGAGCCCTGGACAAAGTGATTAGACCATTGTCTCCCAGGTTTGTTTCTGGGATGGAGAAAGCAGCAGCAGGTGTGAAACAAAGTGCTTCCCACAGCACAGTTCATCCCACTGAAGGTGGATGCTTATGCTATCAGTGTCAAGCCCAGTGGACATTGCCTAAGACCTCTCTGGTTCTGCCCCGAGGCTGGGATTCAGCCATTACAGCTTGCCCTGGTCGCCTGTTGTCTACTTCCAGTGTGTACTGCTGCCCTACTTAGCTGGCTGGCCTCACACAAACAGCATAGGTAGATTGTAGCCAAATGCTCTTTCTAATTGTAGAGGCCCAGCACTAGGCCTGAGCTGGGGAGTGGGAGTGGGGGTGGGTAATGATAGCCCACCTCCTGCCCTGCTGCTGAAAGAAGAAGCTGAACTCTGTAGGAATGCTCCGATGTAAGGCTGAGCCCTTTCCTACCCCCTCCACACCTCCCCCGGGCAGCTGGAAACAACCTCTCCCTTTGTCTGAATTTCTTGTACAGAATAATCTTCCTTATGGACAATGTATTCTCTGTGTCTTGTGGACACAGGAGCCGTGTGAGCTGATCCCAGCACGAGGCAGGACGGAGGCGGAATCCTTCCAAACGCCCATCCTAGCCAGCTCCCGATTAATATCCAGGGAAACTACTAAGAGGTGGACATTTTTTCCTGTGCCCCAGATTTGAGGGGAGGGAGAACCTGTTGGTGGTTTAGCATTGGCTAAGAACATGACCAGGAATTGTATTCCTTTTTCTGGTCTGCTCTAAGAGTTTAGATGCCAGCTTACAGAGGTTTGATGTGGTTTTCCTCAAAGTCTGGAATGTACAGAGGCTAGCACTTGAAGAGTATACTACCCTGCAGATGGCTTCTGATCCGAATAGAAAGTGATTCTCCCATGGCAGGCCACAGTGCTCCATCTTGTCATGAGAACATCAACACGTACAGTGTCCACAGAACAAACTTCTCTCCTGTTTAACAACCTTTATTTATTTATTTATTTTTTTTGTTCCTGACTTCCACATGGGTTCTTCTAATGTTGGCTTTTGTTGAGTCACATTCTCTCATGATGTCAGCCACTGTTTGGACATGTGAGTTTCCTGGGCGTGGCATGGACCAAGGCTGTTGAGTTCCTTGGGGCTCACTTACCCACCTAAGTGATCCCAGTGATCTTTTTATGGCTTGAAAGTGACAGATTCTCAAGCCTACTTGTGCAGGCATTGCTTTTTGTTTTGTTTTACTTGCTGTACAAATTTGTTATTTGGATAGGCCAATTTTTCTAAATCAGCCCTAAATCCCCCAATTTCTCACATTCTTTACCTGTCACCACCCTCCTCTAGACCACTTCCCTGACAGTTTTCTAGCTTTCATATCCTCTCTCACAAAGATTCATCAAAAGTGGTGAGGTAGATGCATATCAAATCACTTTCCCATTCTCAAGCATCTGTCTCCCCTGGACAAGATATGTGTATGGAAAGACTTCTTCAGTATAGGAGATTGTGTAGTTTGGGTATCCCTGCTTATTTGACCCACAGGTACCACAGGTTGTAGATACTCAAACTTAGTCATCCTTCCCTCCATACCTGTTTCTCTTCTAGTTTTTCTGGGGATTACCTAAGCCAGGAATATGGGATATCCTAAACTATTTCTCCTATATGTTCCCAGCTACCTGTCCCATATGAGAATAACTTTACCTACTGAACCAAATGTAGAGTGCCCTGGGTGGCTCCCTTTCTGCTTTCTGCCTCTCGATTCCTTGCTGTCACTCTAAACTCCTTACTTTGTGGTCCTTTTGATTTTTGTGTTTTGTGTACACCCACATGTAGGGCATCTTTTATTTTTGCTAATTTCTCTGGAGTACACCTGTTTTCATGGCCTAGCTAATGATGATTTAGTGTCTCTTACACGGTAAAGATCCTGCTTGGTCCTGTGTGCACTTTCTCTGACTCAGTTCTTTTGTTACATACTCTTTTCCATAGCATTTAGCAATGCCAGCCATCTCCTTTAAGTCTCTCCCACACTGGCTTCTGTGCATACATTCTTGTTCTACTGCCTCTGGCTAGTTCTTAGCAGCTTTTCGACTTCTGAACTTCTTCCTGCTTTTTTTTTTTTAATTTTAATTTTTATTTTATGTGTACATGTGTATTGCCTGCATGTGAGTAAGTGCACCGGTGTCACGCAATGCCCATGGAGGACAGAAGAGACCATCAGATCCCCTGGGACTGGAGTTATGGACAGTTGTTAGCTGCCATGTGGGTGCTGGGATTTGAACCCGGGTCTTCTGCAAGGATATCCAGTGTTCTTAACCGCTGAGCCATCTTTTCAGCCCCCTTCTTTCTGCTTCTTGAATGTTCTTATTCTCCAGGACTTGTCCTTAACTCCCCTTCTTATGCTGTCTGTTCTATGACCACCATTCTTTTTTTGTCTTTTTGAGGCAGGGTCTCTCTGTAGGCCCATCTGGCCTGGAACTCACTACATAGACCAGGTTGGCCTCGAACTCACAAAGATCCACCTGCCTCTGCCTTCCAAGTGCTGGGACTAAAAGCTTGTACCACCACACCTGACTTGACCACCATTCTTAGGTGCGTAGCTCAACATGTTTTGTTTTAGCTCATGTCTGCTGAATCCCAAAAACAATCCAAGGCCAAGTTCTGTCCTTTGTCTCTGGGGTACGGGCTTGTCCTTCACTTCAGTTGAGCCTCTGAGCCCCTCTCAGTGAAAATATTATTCAGACTCCCCATTTCCACATCTGGAAACTCCATCTTGCTTTCCAAAAGGCTGCCAGATAGATCTTTCTAAACTGTAGCTCTGATCCCATTACTCTCCTGCTTAAACCCTTTTGACAGTTCACTCTGAATGTTTCTCAGACTGGGGCTCACACACACCTAGCAGGGTGGTAGTTCCAGTGTTCCAGCTATACTAAAAGTCAGAGTAAAATTATTCTGAAATATTCATTTTACTTGAAGGTAAGTTTTTTAAAGATTTAATTGATTTTATGTGTACAAGTGTTTTGCCTGCATGTTTGGTGCCTGTGGAGGCCAGAAGACTGCGTTGGAACTGGAGTTACAGATGGTTGTTAGCCACAGTGTGAGTGCTAAGAACTGTACCTGGGGCCTCTGCAAGAGGAGCATGTGCTCTTAATTTCTGAGCCCCTTGAGGGTAACTTCAAACAGTGCAAATTGAACATGCAGCCTTTTTTTAACTAGGAATTGAACCCAAGGCCTCATGCATGTTAGGCAAGTGTTCTACCACTGAGCTACATTCCAAGCCCTCTTTATACTTTTCGTTTTGAGATAAGGTTGCCCAGGATGGCCTTGAACTATAGCCCAGACTGGCCTTGAACTTGCAGTTCTCCTATCTCAGCCTCCCAGAGAGCTGACAGATCTGTGCTAACAAGCCCAGCCTTGCCCTCCTCATTAAGAGAAAATTGACATCAAGGAATTCTTGCTAGTCTAAAAGGTTTCAGTCCAAGCTACTGGGTGCCCTGGGGGTATTAGAAAGGTTTTTAAATAGCTTACATTTTGTGGAAAAGCAAGTAAGATTCTTTGACCTAGTGCTTTGCCTTCTGATTTATCTTCTGTATTGTCTTGCCACCCACTTTATTCCAAAAGCCATACAAACTACTGAGTAGCCTAAGTGCAGTCAGCTAAACCAGGCTAAACAGGGTCTCTTTGGCTAGCCTAGAACTCTTGGTGATCTTCCTGCCTCAGCTTCCCGATTGCTGGGATTACAGGTGTGTGCCATCATGCCAGAGTCCAATTGTCTTTTCAGAATTCAGCTTCCATGCCACCTCTCTCTGAGCCTTTCTAGCATCCCAGCCTGTCACATTCAATGCCACATGTACCAGGAAAGTCAATTACCTCCTTTTATGCTCCACTTCTGTAGCTGGTACAAATGTCTTCTACCTCCAGATCTGCACTTTATTGCCCCTCAGGTTCAAGCACCCTGAATTGTCAGAGTTTGAGTCATGATTTTCCCACCCGAGAACTATGTGATCTTGGGCAAGATAATATGTCTGGGTATCCCATAGCATGTAGCCCATCATGAACACTACCTATGGCAGTACTGCTAGTATTTCTAGTATGATTTTTGGAGTGGTATATGAAATCACATTTGGGTTCTGCATGGTAGCACATACCTGTAATCACAGCACTCAGGAGGCAGAGGCAGAAGGATGTTTGCAAGTTCCAGGTCAGCCTGGTCTACATAGCAAGTTCTAGGCCAACCAGGACTACGTCTGTCTCAAAGAAGCAAACAGTATATAATAATAATACACACATATATAATGTATATATAATATGTTATATCCTGTATATTATAGGCTGTAATTACTTATTTTTATGTTGAAAGAACAGGTTCTAGCCTCATACTGACTGGGTTCAAATCCTAGCCTAGCTGCTTACTAGCTATGTGGCCTTGGGATGTTAATTTAAATCTCTGTGCCTGTTTCCTTATTCCTGTGGATAATAGTGGGTATTTCAAAGGCTGCTGTGAGGTTTAAGTGGGTCAGTACATACAGAATATTTAGAACAGTGCCTGACAATAGGAAAAACTCAGTACACATTAGCTAGCCCTTGCTAGAAATCTGTTCCCAGTAGTTATTTGAATAAGTGATTGACCAACGTCGCTAAGAGATCATAAGCTCTTCCTTCTGTAGCTCCCCGTGCTGCTATCTAATGAGCTGTCCTTGGAGACACTGTTGGAATGATTTTCATTCCCAACATCTCCCTAGCAAGTAGTACAGAGCTAGCAATGGGACCTTTTTACGCTTGATTGCCTGATATAGTAAATCAGTTTTGTGTCTAGTTTTGTGATTTCTCATACTTAGCTGTTTCTTATGCTCTTCTCTTAAGCCCCAGTTTGGTCTTAAATTATATCATTTTGATTTGAGTCCAAAAGACAAGCTCCCTTACCTAAGACGTTCTTTTTCATTGTTTCTAAATGGTGTTTCTTCCCTGACCAGACCAGCTAAGAACTCAGTTTTACAGTCTTCATGTATCCTGTCCCTAATGGGGGCCCTTCAGCACTCCTTCTCTCCATGCAGTTGTGCTAAGTCCCAGCCTCACTTGAGTCAGCTCTTGGTAGGTGGGACTCAGATCTTCATGAGTGGCTGGTATAATTCATTGTGTAGATGTAAGGAGCCAGAGCTCCTTGTACCTTGCTTGCCCCCTACTGTCACACTGACCACTGTTCCTTCTGACCTTGATTCGTGTCAGTCCCTATCATTCTCAGCACTTTGCTATAAGTGCTCTCAGCTGTAACCATAAGGACGGGGGCGGGGGGGCAGGCAGGGGCTTGTTTCTCAGCTCTGCCACCCAGAATATCTGTCCTTCTTACTGCTGCCACTCCTTGTTCACCCAATGAACAGTTCTTCCAGTTCAAATGTCACTTGCTTCCTGGAAAGTTTCTACCCCCTCTTCCCTATACACTTGGCCATTCTTAAACCACCTCTCCTGTACTCTCTATACCTTTCCATTCCAGCATTCATAATTCTGCAACTTATTTTTGTATGAGTTCAAATCCTAGCCTGGACTTACCCATTGTGTGATTTTAGACTAGTTGCTTCACTTTCTGGAACCTAAGTTGCTCTCTGTGTAAAATGTAATTTATCTCAAAGGCTACCTTAACCAAGTGTATTTAAGTTTAACCTGCAACTAAGTGACTATTAATTTTCTATAATATAAAGTCTAAGCTTAGAAGAAAAGTCTTTCAGGAAAATAGCACTCAAATGCTACTATTCGCCTTTTATTCTTTCCTAAAAAGTCCTTTTTACCCAATTAAAGACTATTTTGATTGCAACACATTATAATTAAGTAGCTTAACTAAAGAAAAAAGCTGGGGATATAGCTCAGTGAGTTAAGTGGGCAAAGTGCTAGCTGTGCAAACATCCCTGTAAAAAGCATGGCACAGGTCTGCACCTTCTAGGCAGTGGCGTGTCCATATCTCTTGCTCTGGGTGTCTTCGTCTTTCAAAAGGACTTGAGACTAATTGCTGATAATCAAGCTTTTTTTATGTGCTAGAAAAGATGCTGTCTGCGTCCTGTGACACACTGCTGGATGTCACAGAAGACATTGTGTCATAGGAAGAGTTGAAGCCGGGGGATAGATATTTTGCAAGAAAGCATGTGCTTCCAAAGATGTGAAAAGGGAGCCCAGGCCACCAAGCGACAGCACAATTCTGGGCATACAGAAATTTTGGATATGAACATGGGCCTGCTCACATAATAATTCAGATGGAGAATACATGGTTGAACAGTTCACTGCTTATGGCTTTAAAATTTCAGGGTCTCCCTAGTCGCAGCCTGCTTGGAACTATGTGGATCTATGTGGATCCAGCTGGCCCCTTATCTCACAGAGATCTGCCTGCTTCTGCCGTCAGAGGGCTAGGATTAGAGGTGTGTACCACCACACTGGGTATAACTTTATGTGGCAAAAGGGGACGACGGACCAAGGCCTAAAGCTCATAGGAGAATTCAGATATTTAAGGAAATCTGTTAAAATGAAATTTCTATAGAAGGAATTTATAAGCCTTAAATACAAATAAAAGAAATATTATAGAAAATAGAAGGGGTGTTTTTCTCTTATATTTGGTCCTTTATATAAAAGTTACAGTAACTGCTTTAGCTATCTTAAACTTGTCTCCTCACTTTTGGATCTAATATTGCCCTTAAAGACACTGATAGACTCAGTGTCCTAGTTTGTTCTTCATTGCTGGGACAAAACACTCTGACCAATACCAACTTGGGGAGGAAAGGGTTTATTCTGCTTACAACTCCCAGGTCGCAGTTCATCAGGGACCCCAAGGTAGGGGCTCAGGGCAGGAGCTGGAGCACAGGCCAAATTGCTTTGACAAAATACTTTGACCAAAAGCAACTTGGAGAGGAAAGGGTTTATTTGTCTTACATCTCCTGGGCCATAATTCATCAGGGAGCCCAATGTTGGAACTCAGGGCAGGAACCTGGAGGCAGGAGCTGGAGCACAGGCCATAGATCAATGTTGCTTACTTACTAGCTTACTCCCTTGCTTGTTCTCAATCTGTTTTCTTATACAATACAGGACCACTTGCCCAGGGGTGGCACCACCCATAGTGTACTGGGCCCTCCCACATCACTCAACAATCAAGAAAATGTCCCAAGTGTGTCAAGTTGTCACTAAAGCTATGCAGTGCAATTGACCTCTTGTCAGCTTGACACACAAACACATCACTATTAAGCCATAATCTTTTCATTTCTTGTCCCCAAGATATAATGTTAACAATATCACAACACAAGACAGTACAACCTTAAAAGTCTCACAGTCCTTGAAATATTCAAACACTTAACAGTTCACAGTCTCTTCCAAAAGTCTCTTAATTTTGGGGTTCAGTAAAATCCAAAACAAGTACTGTCTTATTTCAAAAGAGAAGATTTGGGCACACCTAAGGAAAAATAAGTGCAGCAAAGTAGCTCAAGGCTGGACATCTGAGATTCACTCATGATTTTCTGGGCATCAAAGGGCTTGGGGAACTCCACTTCTCTGACTCTGCCATCCACAGCACACACAGCTGGTCTTGAAGACTCAGTCATCTCCATTCCACACCTACTGTTGCCCTTGGTGGTGGTCCCATGGTCCTGGTATCTCTAAAATCTAGGTTCTCCACTAAAACTGTGGTGTCACCTTACCCATGGCGTCTTTTGGCCTCTCGGGTGCAAAGCCTCAGATTCCCTCCATGTCCCCTCCAAGTTTTCAACACCAGAACTATGCAGGAGTCTCTTACACATCACCAAGTCCTGCTTCCATCTTCAGATAGAAGCTTGGGCACTTTCTGGACCATAGCTTCTGTGTGCTGACCCTGAGGAAACACTTCCCAAAAGATTTCACCACAGTGGTGCTGATCTCCTGTTACAGCTGAGTTTTCAGCCCCAGCTAACCAGCATCAATTGTTCCAGTAAAGCAAAGGTTTCACTGCAGTGGTTCTGGCCTCTTCTTAATCACAGCTGATTCTTCAGGCCCAGCCGACCAGAACCCACAGATTCTCAACACAAAATCTCACACGAACAGCCCCGGTAGTCTCTGCTTCCCTTTGAAGCTTCACAAGCCAGGCCTCCATCGTCCACAACTCTTCCAACGTAACTGTTCCAAGCTCCACTGCAACAAACTTTGAGCAAGAAATGGCTTTTCCAGCCCAAAGTTCCAAACACTTCCACAGTCCTCCCAAAACACCAAGGTCAGGTCTGTCACAGCAATATCCCACTCTTGGTACCAATCTGGTGGCACTATATTGGTGATGTTATGCTGATTGGATCCAGTGAGCAGGAGGCAGCAGACAGTCTGGACTTGTTGGTTAAGCATATACACATGAGAGGATGGGAAATAAATCCAACCAAAATTCAAGGGCCTTCTACCTCAGTGAAATTTCTAGGCAGGAGCTGGAGCACAGACCATGGAGGAACGCTGCTTACTGGCTTGCTCCCCTGGCCCCTGCTCAGCCTGCTTTCTTATGCAACACAGGCCCACCTGCCCAGGGGTGGCACCACCCACAGTGGGCTGGGCCCTCCCACACACTCATCAAGAAGATGCCCCTCAGACATGGCCACAGGCCAGTCCAATAGAGGCAATTCCCCAATTGAGGCTCCCTCAACCCAGGTGTGTCAAGTTGAAACTAAAGCTATCCAGTACACTCAGATACCCTCAAAACTTGTCTATGTTTTAAATTGGTATACATGGCACCCCTGAATAAAAATTACTCAAGCTTAAAACAAACAAACAAACAAACAAAAAACATGGCACAGTGTGGTGTCTATAATACCAAGGCTGGGAGGTGAAAACCAGAGGAACCCTGGAGCTTTCTGGTCAACCAGTCTAGCCTGTTGGTGAGCTCCAGGTTCAGTGAGAGACCCCATCTCAAAAACTAAGGTAGTAGCCAGGTGTGGTGGCCTATACCTTTAATCCTAGCACTCAGGAGGCAGAGGCAGGTAGATCTCTGTGAGATTGAGGCCAGTCTGGTCTACATAGTCCCAGGCCAGCTGGGGCTACAAGGACACCCTGTCTCAAAAAGACCAATAATAATATGATAGTGTTGAGAACAATAAATGAAGACCCCAGGCATTGACCTCTGGCCTCCACACATGCACACATGAGCATATGCACCTGTACACATGTATATACTGCACACATACGAAAAGAAAGGAGACTCAACTGTACTTCCAACTGTATGTATGGTTTTAAGATGGACTCAGGACCTCAAAGTCTGATCTCTGCCTCTGCATTTCTCCACTGTGTTGTTAAACCTCCTCTCATGGATGAACTCTGGGTTTGCTGAGTTCAGTGCTATTAGGAACTTGGATTGGGAGGGTGTGGAGTATGGGAGGCTAAATGTGTCATCTCACCTCAAACTTGGGGTGTCTTAGAGTGTATTCCTATTCTCCATTCTACCTGTGTTACCAGCCTTGCCAGCCTTGTGTCAGTCAATCCTGAGTTCTCTCTGTTCTCTCCACCACAGATGTAGGTCAGGTCTGTGTCACACCTGTGCCTCTGAGTGGGTTCCCAGCTGCTCTCCTCCTCCTGCTTTCCTTTTGCTAATACACTTACTGTTGCCAGTTTGTCTTTTGAAGTATAAAAGGGGTTGTGTCAGCCTTCCACACAGAAATCTTCAGGGGCACCCCTAGGCAAACAAGTCTTCATTAAAAAAAAAAAATCCCATTCATGACCTCAGGCCAGCGTCCTTTTTAACCTTCTGTCATATGAAGATCTTTTGCTCACCATATCTTTTAGATAAAAGGTATCCTTTGAAGTTCCCTGTGCCTGACCTGTCTTTTTGGGTTCATTCCTTTGTCTGTGTGTTTTCCTCAGTCTGAAATGCCTGTGTTATTTCTACATGCTTGCTATGTGACCTCAAGCTACATCTTCAACCTCTCTAATTCCCCATCTCCGTCTAAGAGGTGACAGTAGTAACCGTACGGGATTCAACCATAAGAGCACAAGAAAAGCAGTGTGCCTTGGGCTCGCAGAGAAAGCGCAGTGTAATAGTTTCTCTTCCCTTCTCCCTTCTCCCAGATCTGCTTTCTTCCATCCTAATAGCCTGCTCTGGTTTGTTCCCAATAAAAACTTCCCTTTCCAGTGCTTTTTCTCCCCTGAGTTTCTTCAGTTCAGTGAATACTAAATGATACCTGTAGTATATGGTACTGGCTACCCACTAGGGATCAGCCCTTGTCTCTGACCTTTCTGGGGTTCAAGCATACTTACAAATTGTAGTTGATAGATGAGTGTTTGCATGCGGTTTCTCCCTTCTGTCATCCAGATGTTCTTTCAGCCATGGTCCCAGCCTCCTTCAAAGGATACCAGCTAGCTGGCTGGGGCCCAGGAACATGCAGAATGATTAACTAGAAAACTTTCACCCTCATCTTTGCTCTCCTGTCCTCAAGGTACAACCCACCTCCCACCCCCAGCTTCTCTGTGTGGCTGCTGTGTAAGAACTGCCCTTTGTCTTTTACAGGATAGGGCAGGGAGAGAGGAGCTTGACACAGTGCCCACGAGGCTGCCTCCAAGATCCTCAGTTCCTTTTGCTGGTAGCTGGTTGCTCCATGAGTTCCACACTCTGTTCCCCACTGCCCCACTTGCTCAAAAATGTGTGGCATACTTTTTCCCATTCTTCCTCATTGCCTCCTATACTTCTTTGGTCCCCCTTCATTTTAGCTTTGTGCCCAAACACAAACCTCAATCAGGTATCAGAGTTGGTAAAGTTCATATAGGTGGTGGTTTTCAGGCTGAACCACCGGAGAAACAACATCACAGATTTATCTTCTGGGGAAAGAGAAGGCCCTCCAGACTCAGTGAGTGAGGAGTGAGTCAGTCAGGGTGGGACTCAGGAAGTTGTCACCTCACTTCCCGTGAGTCAGGAAGGCTCCATGAAGGAAAAGGAATTTTAGTTTTTGTCTGGCTGTTCTTTCCCCATTCTACTGAGCCTGCATTCTTAGCAAGCTTGTGGGTTTAGTTTCTCCAGTTTGTCAGCCTGCTCTGGAGTGGTTTTTTGCCTTCTACAAAACCTTTCCTGAGCTCTCACCTCCAAGGCCTTCCACATAGCTTCCTTGCAGATACCAACCTGTCCCATTTCTGATACCCAGTCTCCCACCTCCTACATTCTGCTGGGAGCTTACAATGCCGATATACATCTGTAATCTCAGCACTCAGGAGGCTGGGGCAGGAGGTTATGGAATTCCAGGCCAGCCTGGGCTATAAAGTGATACTCTGCCTTTTAAACAGAAGTGGAGTAGGGAGGGCAGTGCTGGGACAATGGCTTAGTTGGTAAAGTGCTTGCTGCTCAAACATGAAAGTTTGATTTTGTTCCCCAGTACCCATGTAAAAGATAGATGTGACATCACCTTATACACATACACATACAAACACCCCCAACATGAACCAGTGTATATATACATACACACAAATAAGAAATTGTTTTTTTAAAAAGGAAAACAACCAAATCAAAAAGTAAGCAAGCAAACAGCAACCCTGAGCGCTGATGTGGAACACCATTCTTCATGGCCTGCACTTGGTGGGGCCATCATGTCTGCCCACGAAACCTGACTGACTGCCATCGGTTGTACCAGACTTTTACCACTTCCTGAAATTTCTCATCCTTACCATCATGCCCAGCGAATGCCTTATCTTCTGACTGATGGGAAAATGGACTTGTTTATGAAAACTCTCCCAATTTTTTTCCAACCTATTGATTGACTTCCTTTCCACACATTTCAGCCTGTGGAGTGTTTTCCTTAGCCAAATGCGATTTATGTGTATGTATCTGGTGGGTCCTATTTTTTCTTTACACACAGCCTATAAACAGGTTCCAACTTCTTCCTATTAAAAACAACCATTAGAATCAATCTAGAAGTGAGAGCCAGGCACTGATGCTCTAAAAGCTCCCCAGGTGATTCCTGTGTACAGCCACAGCTGAAAATTATAAACAGAGGCTGGGTGTGGCGGTTCATGCTTGTAATCCTAATACTGAAGAGACAGAGGTTGAAGATCTGGAGTTTGAGGGCAGCTTGGGCTACACAGTGAGATCCTTTCTCAAAAATTCACACACCCTCAGAGAGGGAGGGAGGGAGGGAAGGAGGGAAGGAGGGAGAGAGAGAATTAAAATCAAAAACTTTTTTTTTTGGTCTTTTTGAGACAGGGTCTCCCAGCTGTCCTGGAACTCATAGAGATCCGCCCAGCTCTGCCTCCCAAGTGCTGGGATTAAAGGCATGTGCCACCACACCCAGCTCCTAAAATCCAAACTTTTTACTATACCCACAAGGCTCTTCATCAGCTGATTCCTGCCTGCCTTGTCTATTGACCCTTCCCTATTGACTCGAGCTGGAGCCATACGTAAGAGTTCCCCAAGCCTGCCACATCTTTTGTGTTCTAGGCCATCACATATATGCTTCTCTCTTTGGAAAGCCTTTTCTTCACTTTCTAGAAAATGTACTTTAATGTTAAATGTAGATGTCATTTCTGAGAGCTTTAAGAACAAAACCCCATCCTGGGTTAAGTTCCCTGCTCCTCAGTGCTTTCATAAGCCTATGGGTTTCTCTCTATGGAATATTCACCACATGCTACTAGTGTTGTTTGTTTATATGTATGTCCACTCCCCTAGACTGGATACTTTGCAAGAATCCCATGGCTACAGAGATGCCATTTGGTTTACATGAGCTACATAAGATATTGGAAGATGCCTGCTGTCAGGACTAGGATGAGAATTGAATGAAGAGTCTTTGAGCTTGGTCATTCATGTAGTCAGCCAACATTTACTGAGGCCTTGCCATGACCATTTATCTATGTGGCCCAGGTGAATACATGTATATTTGAAGTTTCCTCATACTAATATGTTTGGACTTTGGGGAAGTTTCATCATCTAGAGTAGTCTTCTTTGTCTCCAGTGGACTTTCATGATGTATATATAATCCAAAATCTCTTAGTAGGGTTTCAGAACAGTGCTTTGCATATAGTGTTTAGGAAAGATTTGTTAAATGAATGCTCATGAATTCATATACAAATACGTACTTTATGGATATGTTGGACCACTTCCCTACCTTGTCTGTTAATGTCAAGATAGAGTACTGCGTACTTCGCATGGGTTATCTCCTTTAACCCTCACAGTGAGTCTGTAAGCTAGGTACCAATTTGTTCTAATTTTTAAGAGGTTCCACAATATATACAAGGTCATACACCCACTGATTGGAATATTTTGGAGTGTGGCTGCAAAGCTGTCAAAGAATACGTGGAAGACATCAGAACTTCAATAAGTATTGATTGGCTCAGTGAACATTGCTCTCAAGGGAAATGGAAAGACTTGAATTCCACTACTTTCCTCCACTTGATTCTGGGTCTCTTGATCTCTTTTTCCACCTATTGTCCCATTCATTCTGATCTGAAATCCAATCAACAAACATTATGTAAAGTCAATTGAGTGACAATAAGCCCAATGATAGAGATAGAGAGATGACAAAAATATGAGCTCTTCCTGACTGAAAGGAGCTTATGGTTGGGGGAGGTACAGAAAATTACATTACAGTATGCCAGAGGAAGGAGTGATTTACTGCCTGGAGATCTGACTGTACTTTGTGCTGAGCCAAGGGGAAGGCTTAAGCCTTGGAAGCAGCCCAATATATCACCAAGGTATGTATGTGCTTGCATGTGAATTCATGAGCATTCATTTACAAATCTTTCTTCAACATTGTATGCAAAGCACTGCTTTGAAAGCTCTGCTGGGCTTTTGGATTCAGTATCCATCATGAAAGTCCACTAGAGACAAAGATGCTGACATTACTGGGGAATGGTTAAAGCATGGGATATGGATCAAGAGAAACACAGAATGAGAAGACCAGGTAGATCTGGTAGGTCTAAAGAGATTGAGGTTTTAGAGTAGATTTTTTGCGTTTCCTGACAAGAGCTGGTGCTAATAGGTAGTCAGAATTGTTCATTGGCTAATTTCTTAGCAAGCTCTAAGATAAAAACATCCAGGTAGCTACATCCTAACAGTTATGAAAGAACTATCACTCCTAGTCACCTTCTTGAATTTCCTAATTCTCTCCACCATTTACATCATCAATTTGACAAAGGAGTTATTGGATCATAATGTGCAAAAGAGATAGAAATTTCATGTCCTGGAAATGTGGTCTGATAGCTTGGTGTTTGTAGAGGTGGGGGCCAGGAAGTGTTGAATTGGCAACTATGTAGAAATCCCCACATTGTTTCCAATCCTATCAGTTTCCTCCTTAGGTCTGGCAGCTGTCTCTCACCGGATCTTGTACCTGGGCTACAGAGTTCAGAAACCAAAGCTTGAAGTGGTTTTGCACACTTGTAGGTGGCCAGTAAAGGTCTGATGAATGAGACCAGCTTGATTTTAACCTCCTCAAAAATCTCGCGTTTTCTTCTGCTTCTAGAATAAAAATCAGAATGCCTCTTTTGGCCTCCAAGATCTACTACATTCAACCACAGCTGATTTCACTTGCCTTTCCCTTCCTTACTACCTTGAAGGCCGGTTTAGACAATGATTCACAGTTCTTGCCCCGGGCCACTTGTATTCTCCTATCTCCATTCCAGGAAATCCTCTCCGTGGCTCCCAATGCTAGGACTCATCCAAGTTTATAGGCTGGGAAAAAGGCATAGTAGCCAGCTGCAGCCTCCCGCTAGCCCTCCCGCCACCCCAATCAGCCCTCAGCTCGCACAGCTGGCCCTCCTGTGCTCCGCTGGGCTCGCCCTGCTGAAGCAGCAGCACTTTTGAGGGGAAGGCTGCACCCTGGAACTTTTCCCCGAGTACTAAGCTGGGACTCCGCGGGCAGCAGATGAGTGGGTCCTCTTGCTGGAGAATGGGGCCATGCGGACCGGACATCAAGAAGAGGCTGGGTGCGGGCCCGGCCACAGCCATCAGCGAGGCAGGCTGAGAGATGCGAGGGAAGGGGTGGAGAGCTGGGGCTGGGTGTGCTTCCTGCCCCGGGATCTGGTGGCCCGCCCCTGCTCCCGCCCTGGCGGCCGAGCGGGCGCTGGACGGCCCCTCCTGCCTCGGCCGGCCGCCCAATCAGCAGGCGCCCCCCGCCCGGCCCGCCCCCTCCCCCTCTGGTGACAGAAAGTCGGCCCAGCAGATGAGGAAGTGGCCGGCAGGCGGCCCTGGGGACTTCTCGCCCGCCCTGATCCCTCGGATCCCTCCGAGCCATCCACTGCTGCCCACCCGGCACCCACTGGTGAGTGTGGACCGTCCATGGTTCCCCACGTGTCAGCGCCCCCTGCCTGGTGGCCAGCCCTGCCCTGCCCTCCCTGCCCTGCCCTGCCCAGGCTGTGGGCGAGGCTGCTCTGGGGAGAGTGGGTGGGAGGTCCCAGATGCTGGGGCCGGCCCGCCCAGCACACTCCCTCCCCCAGCACCTTGGCCCCTGACCCCCATTTGCTCACACCTAGTGTTGTGTCCCCCCCCTCCCCGCCCCCGGGTCTTGCCACCTCCGTGCGTCCTCCATTCCCTCTTCCCCTTCCTTTTCTTTTGCTGGTGCCCTTTTTCCTTTCCATCCATCTTAAAGGAAGGAACTGGCCGGGTTCCACTGGGAGGGACACACCGGGGTTTCCCTCAAGCTTGGGGAGAGATCCTTTCCAGAAGTCTGAGTCCCTCCTGTCCTCCAGGGTTCCTGTGTGTGTCAGCCCTTGTATGTGTAGGGCAAAGGGGGGTGAACTGGGGGAGGTGGTTGAGGGAGATAAGGAGCTGGCAAGCTCACATGTGTCAGAGAGGAACTGTGTGAGAGCACATGCCTAAGTGCTAGGCCCTACTCCAGCTTAGGCCACCGACAAATGTGACTGTGGGTGAAGAAATGAGGAGCTGTATGTTTAGGAGGGAGGCATGTGTCTGCTTGTGGTGTGAGTGACAAGATGTTTGTGCACCTCTCCAGGTGTGTGTCTGGTGAAGTGTGAGTGCCACTGTGAGTGTAGTCCCTTGGCAGGTGTGAGACTTAGGAGCCTGGCATGGCATAGTGCCATGGAGGCCTGTTTGGGTGGGGTGTGGGGAGGGGTAGGGCAATTGTGGCCAGCAGATGTGTGGGATGCATGAGGATATGTGTTAGCCCCTGGCATAATGTGCATGTCTCAGGGGTGGTTGAGAGCTGTTTGGGGCAGGTGTGGATTGCAGGGCTGGGGGCCTTGAGGTAGGTGTGTGGATGGAAGGCACTTGGAGCACTTAGGTTATTGGGCAATTACCTGGGCCCTCTGGGACAGAGTCTCCTGGGATTAGGCTGAGACTTTGTGTCCCTGTAAGCCTTCCCCTGACATGCCTCCCAGCTCTGAGGAGGAGGGGGCCTTGCATCAGGAATCCTGAGACATCCCCCATTCTCCCACCTCCTCACATACCACTGGCTTCTTTGCCCCTCCCTGGAAGGGAAGGGTGATTGTGTCCATTCTGAAATAGGACAAACTGAGAATTCGTGGCTGGTTTGGGAGAGGATGCTGGGTGTGGATTTTTAGCAATTCCTCCAGCCAGAGCATCGGCAAGAAGTTTCTGGAGAGCCTCATCTGGCTGGTCTAGAGTTGTGGGTGGTGAGTCTGGGGCCTTAATTGGCTTTCCCAATCCTGGTGGGTCCTGCTCCTCTAGGCATTGACCTGTGGCCTGGACCCGCCCTCCACCCCATGCCCAATGTAGTGGGCGGGCAGAGGGCGGGGCTGCTACTAGATCTAGTCAGACAGGTGGAGCTGCCAGGGCAGGAGTCTCAAAGAGCCAGGCTCCTGGAGAGGAAGGGCTCGCTGCTCCTCGGAGGGAGGAGAGCAAGCGGGAGAGCAAGAGTACCTGTGAGCAGTGGGGAGGAGAGAGACTGGAGGTGAGAGCACTGGAAAGCAGAGGGGAGGCCGGGGAAGAGGGCTTAGCAGGGGAGAGGAGGAACCCCAGGCCTGGAAGGGACAGAAAGGACCGGGGAGGAGAGAGGCCTGGCAAGGGACAGAAGGGGAGATAGGACTCTTGGAGGGACAAGAGGGACAGGACTGCTTGGGTGAAGAGAGGTCAAGAGAGGAGAGATTGATGGGGAGAATCCCCAGAGAGGAGTGACCTCTTGGAGCTGGAGTGGGGTAGGGTGGGGATGAGAATCTTTGGGGAGGAAGGGTGAGGAGGTTCACTGTGGAGAGGAGCTTGAGGGGATGGGCTCTGGAAGAGGGGAGGGGAAGGTGTGGAGAGGAAGGGTGGACTAGCCTTCTCCAGGCAGGCAGGATGCTGGAGGAACAGATGCTCCCAACCAAACTGCCTCCTTTTCTCTCAGTCACCAGCAATTCCTTTCTATCACGATGATTGCTTTTTTTTCTCCCTTCCTCTTCCTTGCTTCTTCCATCCCTCCATGCTGAGTTCAGGGCCTTGTGTATGCTAGAGAAATGCTTTACCACTGAGCTATATCCACAGACCGACCTTTTATCAGTGAGGTATGGGTTATCTGATTTTGTGTCTTGTCTCTGTGGGCTAAGTGCGGGATGGGGGCATGCAGTGGACCCTGTCTGATGCCCACCCTCAATCCCCCACAGACTCCGTAGCCAGGATGGAGGCTGTTGTAAATTTGTATCAGGAGGTGATGAAACATGCAGGTAAGCTGCTGTCCATCAGTCCTACCTTACCTTTCTCCCTGGGATCCCAAGATTAGGGCTGTGTCATAATGAAGAGTCCTTATGAATCACTTCACCCTTGGTGACCTAACTTCATGCCTGGTGAGGCCCTTTTGAACCCTGTGACCCTTTCTGACCCTTTGACCCCGTTTACAGATCCCCGGATCCAGAACTACCCTCTGATGGGATCCCCCTTGCTAATGACCTCTATCCTCCTGAGCTATGTGTATTTCGTCCTCTCACTTGGGCCTCGAATCATGGCTAATCGGAAGCCCTTTCAACTCCGTGGCTTCATGGTTGTCTACAACTTCTCACTCGTGGCACTCTCCCTCTACATTGTCCATGAGGTAGGCCAGAATGCCTAGGCTTTGGTTCTTGTCCAGCAGGATTAGGGGTAGGACATAGGGCCAGAGCATGGCATGTCTCCTTTCCAGAGGTTCAGCTAGTGAAGGGGAGAGTTTCTGGGAGAGAACTCGTCTAATCTGCACCCGTCCCTTAGTTCCTGATGTCTGGCTGGCTGAGTACCTACACCTGGCGCTGTGACCCTGTTGACTATTCCAACAGCCCTGAGGCGCTTCGGGTAAGTAGGGCCCCAGGTAAATCATAAGCTACCTGGAGAAAGGAGCATTTAGGATAAGGTCTGTGTGAGTGGCCAAACTACAGAGGCTTCTTTGGGTATTGTGTAATAAGACTGCCCTGGCTCCTTACAGATGGTTCGAGTGGCCTGGGTCTTCCTGTTCTCCAAATACATTGAACTGATGGACACAGTGAGTAGTTACAGATATTAGAACTTGGGGTGGAAAGGAAAGCCACGGCACTGAGCCTGTCTTCCTTCTTTTCTCAGGTCATCTTTATTCTCCGAAAGAAAGATGGACAGGTGACCTTTCTACATGTCTTCCATCACTCAGTGCTTCCCTGGAGCTGGTGGTGGGGGATAAAGTTTGCTCCAGGTGAGTAGTGAAGGACACTGGAGAAGAGAGTGGCCACTAGGAGCAAAGGCTTGTCTCCTGATTCTTCTTTCCCATCTCAGGAGGAATGGGCTCTTTCCATGCTATGATAAACTCCTCTGTACACGTTATCATGTACCTGTATTATGGATTGTCTGCCCTTGGCCCTGTGGCTCAGCCCTACCTTTGGTGGAAGAAACACATGACAGCCATTCAGCTGGTAAGGAGGGGCTTGGTGGGCCTATGACCAAATCCCCAACATCACTAGTATGGATCCTGCCTTTATCCAACCTGTCTCACCTTTGACCCCATCCCTCCCCATTCAACCTTTATCTTTTTCCATTCTTCCCAATCCTTAGTTCCTGACCCTTGTCTTTTTTTCTCCCAGGTCCAGTTTGTCCTGGTCTCACTGCACATCAGCCAGTACTATTTCATGCCTAGCTGCAACTACCAGTACCCGATCATCATCCACCTCATCTGGATGTATGGCACCATCTTCTTCGTGCTGTTCTCCAATTTCTGGTATCACTCTTATACCAAGGGCAAGAGGCTGCCCCGTGCAGTTCAGCAAAATGGAACCCCAGGCATCACCAAAGTCAAGGCCAACTGAGAAGCATGGCCTAGATAGCGCCCACCTAAGTGCCTCAGGACTGCACCTTGGGCAGCATCCATCAGTGTCCTCTCCACCTACGCCTATGACCAGGGCTCATGTGGTAAGGACTAAGATGGAAGACTGGCTCTCCCTTCCCCAGCTGGTCTACAGACACCATTGCTTCTATTCCTTCTCCCAGCCAGCTCCAGGGATGTGGCCTCACAGCCCCCTGCAAGCAGTGCTGGGGGCTGAAAGGGCTGGACGCTCCCCTCCCTGCCTTAAACTTGGGAGAGGAACACTCAGGGCTGGCCCCCACCAGGGTCTTGTGGTCATTCTCCTCACACTGAAGAGGTCAGCAATAATCTGTCACTCCCTCGATCCTGAAGCAGGAGCTTCTGGGCCAAAGGTCAGGGTGGGCAGCAGGCCTGGCAATACAGGCTGTGTACTCACTTGTGTCTTAATTAAAGTGACAGAGGAAATCACTGAGATTGTGTGGATATATGTGGGGGTACACAGCCAGCTTTAGCCCTGGGTTGTCTACAAACAGAAGGGCTGGGGAGGCTTTTGAAGTAGGAGACTCACAAGTTCAAGGTCAGCCCAGGTAACTTGAGATCATCTCAAAATAAAAATGAAGCTCAGTGGCATAACCCTTGCCTAACACCACAATGGGTGTTAATCCATAGTACCATCAAAAAAGGGAGGTGGGGTGGCAAATGCTCTAATCAGTGTGGGGGAGCCTCTAGGAAGCTTCCGTGACATGGCTCATGCAAGAAAAGAAATCTTTATTAGAAAAAATAAAAAAAACTGAGGTAACGGTCTGTCTTCATCTGATGCCTTGGTGGATAAGGCTACTTTTAGCTACACTGGCTTTTTCCCGCTCCTTCCGCCGGGCAGGGTCCAACTCAAAGCAGCGCCATAGCCGTAGTGTTTCATCTGCTGCTGCTGATGCCACTGTGGCCCCATCTGGGCTCATGGTCAGACTCAGGACCCGGGCTGTGTGACCTGTGGGGAGAGCAGTACATGTGAATATAGGCACATCCACAGCCCTCTAATTTTCTTAGTCACCTTGAAATAAAATTTAAATACCGTAAAATTCATCTTCACTTTAGTGGTTTGTAGCGTATTCACAAGGTTGTGCATCATTATAATACCACAGCATTTTAAATCATATTTCCCATTACCCTCACCAAAGCCCCTAGCAAACCATTCCTCTACTCTCTCAACATTTTATATGAATGGAATCACACAATGTGGACTCTGGCTTCTTTCACTTTGCCACCTACCTTTTAGCTCAGCCACCTTGGCCATGGTTGGGTACTTCCAAATAACCAGCTGGTTCTGGGCAAAGCCATGGCCTGAGATTAGCTCCTTGTAGTGGGAAGACCAGAGGATGGAACACACCTGTGGAAAAGAGCTGGCATGAGGGTGACATACAGCCAGGGCTACTCAAATTGGAACTGAGTCCATGCTAGTGTCACCCTGTCAGGTGCTACAGATTCAGACTAATGGTCATAGACTTTTACTAAAGGCCTTTGAGAAATTTTTGGATTATATGCTATACATGCGTTGGATGGGAGCCATTACAGGTACTAGACCACTCTGTGGAGTAGATAGGACAGATGGGAAGATATGTTTGGGAGGCTGAGCATGGTTATGCACTGATAATCTCAGCATTTGGGATACTGAAGCAGGAGGATCACTGCAAGTTTGGGACCAGCTTGGTAAAACTGAAACATCTTGATGAGGATGATGAAAGATTCTAGGAGGCTTTCAGATTTCAGAGTATGTTCTTCAATTCTGAAGCAATACAAGGAGGAACAGTACATTTCAGGGAGAAAAGGGGACATGACAGATTTTAATCTGGAACATAAGGAGGTGGTGATTCTTAGATGACCTAGAGTTGGAGATAAGCCTGACTTGGAAATGGGGGTTCAAGAATAGAGGTAAGTCAGAGGTTTGGGAGCTATTAGGTATCGAGCTGGAGTGTGTGGCTGTCCAGGAAGACCACAGAGAATAAGAACACATCTAGAGGGAGAGGCTGTAATAGTTTAAAAATAAAAGCAAGCCAGGCGTGGTGGTGCACACCTTTAATCCCAGCACTCAGGAGGCAGAGGC